TTATTTACTGACATAAGGAAATTATTCGAAACTATCTATTGCTAAAGTTATTAAGAGAAGAGAAATTAAAATCTATCAATTATTATTATTATTAATGAAGGAAACAAATTCAAAATTAATTATTATTAAAACTAATAAAAGGAAACTAATTAAAGTGAGTTTTTTTTCGTCCAAAAGAAATCTCCTTTTTTCCCCTCTCTATCACTACTTGACTTTTTATTCTTTATACATTTTTCTTTTGTTTACTTTTACCTTGGTTGCTACCCATACTTTGCTACTTGAAGGTGTTATGCAAGGGTGAATAAATAATTACCTTGTATTTCACCCAATTGGTGGCACATAATCTACTTGGTACAACTACTACCTCTGTTCGCCACCTTCAGTGGTCACGAATGTTTTTGTGTCACCACAGATATTTTCTCCTTCAAGGAGAAGCCCCTGTGACCCTACTAACTCCTCATAAATGTCCTCTGTTACATGTAGGTTCAATTCTCTATACGACTACAGAAACCTCTCATATTCTTGTTTAGACAATCTGTAGACCCAGTAAGGTGTGATGTGCTGAAATCTTTTTGGGTAGAGTATCCCGACTTCGAGAGAGAGCGACCTTGCCCTTAGGGCTATCGTGTGTGTCTGTGTACCGTTTCGTTGAGAATATTCCTCCAGCTCTTGCTTGAGTGCCGTAGCTGTTAGTTCCTGTTGGGTGTTGTATATGTATTCCCCAAGTTTTCTGTAAACATTCATTTGTTGTCCGCTAGAGTTGTTCAGATTTGTTGCTATAGATAACAATCCGGTTGCGTCATGACCTGGTACGGCTTCTGTTAGGTCATATTCTTCCTCCACAGCGGTCACGGCATCCATGACATATGGTAGCAAGGAATCGTCCTCTCGCATTATTCTCGTACTGATCGCGGGTTCCACCAGGTTGACCGTCTTGCCTTCGGCTATCAGATGTATTCCCGTTTTATCCAGGACTACTTGTACTTCTCTCGAAATTGATAATAATTCTCTGCGAATTTGGTTAATTCTTTTGTAGAATCCTTCGGTCACTTGCATATTTGTTCTTGTTGCCTTTGTTAGGTGCGATAAAAGTTAGTTCATACTTTCTTGAGTCACTATGTCTTTTTAAGGTTCAAGTATTACCCCTCCTGTTGCCCCACGTGATATGAGATCCCTTTGTTTGTAGGACTTTAGACGGTTTCTGTGAACTGGCCGATGGTTAAATATTTCCCCATCGGTACGCCTCAATATGTACGACCCGTTTCCTAGAACGCAATGGATATAGTATGGTCCTGTTTAACGGCTTTGAAACTTGTCGCCATGTACGTTCTTTAAGTCTGAGTGATACTCCAGTACCATATTGCCAGTTTTGTATGCCATAATTCTGATCTTCCTGTCGTGTGTATCCTTTTGTCTTTTTTGTGCATCCTTGATATTTCGAGTGGCCTTTATTTTATCGTCTGTGAATATACTCGCGATCTCGCTAACCCTCTTCTTGAATAATTCCTCGTACTATTCTTTATCGAGTTCCTCAGCTGGTCAGGTAGCAACATCCAATTCTAATGGTAGAGTCAGGGTACGACCATAGAGCAAGTAGAAAGGTTCGTACTTCGTGGTTCTGTTCTTTATTGTTCAGTATGCGAAAAGGGCTAGGGGTATCAGCACGTCCCAGTCGCAGTCAATTTCCTGTATGCTTTTTGTTAACGCCTTGCAAAGGGTTTGATTAAACCACTCTGTTAATCTATTGCTTTGTGGATGATACGTCAATGCGAGTCTGTGTTGGGTTCCCATTATCCTTGTTAAGTTCGCAATTATTTGGTTGACGAATGCTGATCTTCTGTCTGATAACATTTCTCTAGGGTAGCCGTGTCGACATATGATTTTGTCGTATAGGAACCAGGCAACCGATATTACATCTGCTTTTTCCAGGGCCTTCGCTTCCAGCTATTTCGTGAAGTAATCTGTTACTACTATTATGTATCTCTTTGATGTCGCTGTTGGCTTTAGTGGCCTCACTATATCGATTCCGATTCTGTTAAATGCTTGTCCTACTTTTATAGGTCGCAGTTCTTCGTTTCGTGAAGCTTTTTCTTGTCGTTGGCAAATATCACACGATTCCATGTAGTTCCTTATATTTCTCCCCATACTAGGCCAAAAATATCGTTGCCTTGTTCTATCAGTTGTAGCTCTTATGCTGAAGTGTCCTGTACTTGGCACATCATGTATGTTATAGAGTACCTCTGTCACGTTTTCCGTTATTATGACTCGTAAGGGATTGCTGTTTTGGTTGTGCCTAAATAGTATATTGTCTTGTACCATATAGTAATTTGCCTATTGCTGTAGTTGTCGTCGTCGTTCGTTGGTTCCGTTCGGTGGGAAGTTGTAGTTCATTAAGTATTCGATTATTTGATTATACATGTTTAAGTCTATTCTAGAAATTCTGCTTGCCTTTCCTTATAAATTATCTGAGTTATGTGGTTTCGTGTGTAGCTACTCTGGGTCTAGTTTGTAGATCTGGAGAGGGAGTCCGTGTTAATGTTGAGCCTCCCTTGTTTGTAGATTATTTCGTAGTCGTACTCAGATAATTCAAAGATCCAACGAGCTACCCTCCCTTTTGGCTGTGGTTGATTCTTCAGCCAGGTAAGTGCCAAATTGTCAGTATATAAGTTAAACTTGGGACCATGTAAATAGTGCTTAAAGTATCGTACGGACCAAATTACGGTGAGGCATTCGCTTTTTACAACTGTATAATTTTGTTCGGCAGTGGATAAGAGGCAGCTGGCGTAGGTGATCAGATGTTCTCGTTTATCATCATCTTCCTAGGAGAGCACAACTCCAACACCCCAGTTGGATGCGTCAGTGGCAAGCATAAATTGTTTGGTGAAATCAGGGTAGACCATTATTGACGCAGTTGTTAAATATTTCTTTAATGTATTAAAAGCGAGTTGATGTTCATGTGTCCACTCGAAAGAAAAATCTTTCTTTGTCAAGTTATGTAGTAGTTTCGTGATTGTGGCAAACTCTTTTATGAATCTTTGGTAGTAGGATGCTAGTCCTAGAAAAGCACGAACATTAGTTTTATCCTGCGGAATTGGGTAAAGTTGCACCTTTTCGCTTTTTGATAGATCAGGTGAAATTCCTTCGATCGTTATTACGTGACCCAAAAATGCAAGCCTTGTTTTAAAGAAATCATATTTTTCCAGGTTTATTTTTAATCTCGTTTTTACCAGAAGCATAAAAACGTTCTTAAGGTGTTCCACGTGTTCTTCATAAGTCTTCGAAAAGATGATGATGTCGTCGATGTATACAAGTACGAATTTTCAGAGGACCTCATGCAGAGCTTTGTCCATTACCCGTTGAAACGTCGCAAGAGCATTGATCAGGCCAAAGGGCATCACGACAAATTTGTATATACCGCAAGGTGTGGCGAAGGTGGTCTTTTCTCTGTCCTTAGGTGCTACTTCCACCTGCTAGAATTCTGATACCAGATCTAACGTTGAGAAATAAGCGAAGTGTCCTAGGGTATCTAGCATATCGGCTATTCGCGACATAGGTATGCATCTGGTTTCGTCACTGCATTCAACTTTCTGTAGTCAGCGCAAAGCCTGTATTTCCTGTTTTTCTTGTTTACCACCACCGTGAACGCAGACCATAAGCTAAAAGACTTCTGGATCAATTCGTTGTCTAATATTTGAACCATTTCCTCCTTCAAAAATTTCAAGTGTCGCAGGGAGGTACAATACGGGTATAGTTTTATAGGTTTCACCTCACCGGTGTCTATGATGTGTTGATATAGATTGGTTCTCCTGAGTTGCGATATGTCGTTCGCCACCAGCTCCAGGAATTCTTGAATAAGCTTGTTGACTTGCTGCTTGTGTTCATTTTCTTCAAGCATCTCCATGCCTCCATGTGCCAGGTTAACGTGGATATCACAGATTTCGTCCCTTGGAAGCACAGATGTGGCTTCTCAGTCTTGCAGTCGTTCTTCGCATATCTCACACCTGTCTTCTTTCGCTTCTAGATATCGGTCACACCAGCAGTATGTCTTTGGTCCCATCACTCTACGTCTATCCCTTTTCCCTCTAACACCATCAAAACAATATGTTAGGTAATCGTGTATTTCTAAGTCGATAAGTTTGGAGCTTGTGTGTATCCCTTCAGAAGTGATCTTGTATATCGTATTGGCCTTTCGCTGTGATGGTTCGTAAGTTAGTCTTGCAAAATCTGTCACGTCGCTTTCTTCATTTGAATCAGTGTTTTCACTTTCGTCTTCGCTGTTCGCGTCTTCGTTGCCATTCGTCGATATCGGGTTCATATTTCTGCAAGAGACTTCCACTGTCCCCTCGTCATCCTTTAGTGTCAGCTTACATTCTTGGTAATCGATAATGACTTTCACTTTCCTCAACCAGTCCGTGCCTAGGACTAGCGCATATCCTGTTGCATCGATTACTTTCATATCTACTGCCACAGTTTTATTTTTCAACTTTACTGATACTTAGGTTATACCTGCCACCCAAATTCAAAATCCAAATGCTAAAATCCCAAATGCCAAAATCCCAAATCCCAAATCCCAAATTATGATTAGTATTTTTTGCCGAAATCCCAAATCCCAAATCCCAAATACTAGTAATTTGGGATTTTGGCATCCCAAATCCTAAATGATTTGGGATTTGGGCAACACGTATAACTTGGGTTACGATTTCTAAGTTAGGACGTCTCTCATCGTGTATATCAATTATCCTCCTGTTTGATGGTCCCTCGATCCTTCTTCCCAGTAATTCCATAAAACTTTTCAAGACGATGCTAATAGATGACCCGCTGTTGAGGATCACTTCAACCTTCCATCTCGCGACCTGAGCTTTGTACATCATAGGCATATTTCCTTCTGTATTTGTATGGTTTGCCACTTTCGTAATCTTTGATCGTCTTATTGTCAAGGCTTTTTGTGCTTCCGTTCAATAGGGTGCCATCGTTAGTAGTTGTCCTAGTGTGATATTAGCTTTTGTCATTAATAAGTTAGTAACTATAGAGTAGAGTGGTGCGTCTTGAGTTATAAGTGGTTGTCGAATAGGGGGTGTTTTCTTTCTCCTTCTTTTCCTGCGGTTCTCAGATGCTTCTTCTTTCTTCGCAGAGCGTAATCTCTTTGCTATGGGTTGGGCCGTACCTTGTTTATCTGTAGAGCTTGGCCTCTCCGTAATTATCTTCGTTCTGCCAGTTTTGAACGAGGGCTTTGTATCATTCGCACGCTCACCCTCTAGAGGTGCGACTACCAGTTTAAATGCCATAAATCTTTCCAGTCAGTCGCAAGGGTTTCCAATTTCCTCTTCTTGAGTTATAAATGTACTACCATTTGTATTGTTTTGGGGTGCTTGTGGTATAGATTAGTTTGTTGTGGCGTTGGTTTAGGTTTTAGCTAGTTCTTGGATGGGGAGAGTATTGGGATTTCTCTGATGTCCTAGTCTCATGGGATATTCTCGTGACATGTGTCCCATCTGACTACAGGTGTAGCAACGGAACGGATCGTTAGCATTGTTGCGATTTCTCGTGTTTGTTCCCTGTTTTCGTTATTATAACTCGGTCACCTGTAGTATGTATTTGTCGTCTTATTTTCTTTTTCCACGATTCTTTGCAACGTTTCGGCTATCGGTGTCAGGGCCTTCTGCACTATCTGTTCTATTCTGTCCTCTTTTCCATTGTCTCTGTTTCACGTAGGTGTGAATCTCTGCATACCTGTGGGGGCGGCGACACCGTAACTGGCTGTGGTTTCAGAATAAGTTTGGGCGTTCTCCTCAAACTGTCTTGCAATTCTGATTTCCGTTTCTAGGGTAGGATTCTCCTGAGACAGGATAAGTGGTCGTGCTTAATAGGTGATATCTTTCCGTAGGCCTTTTAAGAATTGCCAGACCTTCTTGTCTTCGCTCCATCTGTTTTCACTATCAATCCTCCTAACTAATTTCTTAATATCATTTGCGTATCGCTCCACAGTTTCACCCAGTTTCTGAACTTTCATTTGTAACTCAATCTCCACTGGTTTATTAGGGCAGTGGTCTTGAAGG